GCCTTCCTGTCCTTCACTGCCTCCTGGAGTTGGCTCAGTTTCATGCTCATTGCTTCAGTGATGCTATCTAACCATCTCACCCACTGCCGTTCCTTTCTCCTTTTGCCTTCAATCTTTCCCAGCATCAGGGTCTTTTCCAAAGAGTCCTCTCTTCACAAGTAGGAGGCTAGTCTCATTTTTCTCCTCTTAAGGAAGTAATATTATAGCCTAGGCTGATCTCCTGGGTACATTTCACCATATGCTTTGTCTTGTGCTGTACTGGTTATTCTGAATCATGCTTACATGCTGGCTTAGCAACTAGATTTGATATATTTGTGTGTGTGTGTGCATATATGCACTATTTCTTTTGTTCTTTCTTCCTTTGCCCTTTTCTACTCTCAACTGAAAAAAAAATGCTAGATCTGGTAAAAGGACAGTCCTATCTTTGAAATGGAATAAAAATAGCCTTATGGGGTCAGATCAAAGGAGCACCTAATTCTAGAGAGTTTCATGAAAGGCTGGACAGATGCCTTAAGAAGCTCAGATTTGATGAAGATCAATCTTCTCTGCTCTTGGGCTGTCCACCCTATTGAACTTCAGTTCTCATTTTACCAGCATTATCAGAATTGAAATCTTACACATCTGGAGGATTGCAGGTTGAGGAATGTTAATGGTGACAACTGTTCCCATTCATCCATTTGTCTCCAGTGAATGTTGCTTAGTGATATTTTTCCTCTAAATATGCAAGGTCCATAGTTAGCTATCATGGCTTTATGATTTTGCTTAAAATGGCCTTTCCCAACCAGGCACCTTTCAGATACGTTAGGGCTGCAATTTCCAGAATTTCCAATCTGCAGGTCTATATGTTTTCTAAGAGGACTGCCAACATCACTTTAGAGTGATCACAGCTTGTCAAAGATGCATACATTCTTTGCCATATCCTCACTATTTGAAATGTATACAGACCCTGTGTACAAGAGAGGCAGCCAAAGAACACTTCAAGGATTGCACGTGTCAATGGATTTCTTGGCATCCTTAGAAAATGAACTGCAAAAGTTAAGTCATTTCATTTGGGTCCTTCTATGTTGACCTATGCAGTGCAATACGGGTTGAAGAAGCAAGCCTATAGAAGGCACCCTATGCCTCTAGGGACGCTGATTAAACTAGAGACAATACTTCCTAAGAATTCACCACTCATAATCCTTCAAGCCTGGGAAGTCAGCAGTGCTGGGGGGCCAATCTGAGCTGCTAAGAAGGGTCGATTTCCTTCAGATGAATGACCTGTTATGTACTGCAGCACCTCTGTCTTCCAGCCCACCTGTCTACCATCAGTATTTGGTCCAAGTTTGATAAATTGATATAAATGTCACAGCAACAATTGCATTCTATGATCTAAAATGCTTGTGAGGGATAATTACTTATATTAATTCCTTCCAGCTTCTACACACTTATGATGCCCAAGAGCTAAGGATGCTAATTCAAAGCAACTTGAGGATATGCAAATGCATTAAAAAAGGCTTCTGTTCACCTGAATGAGACCCCTGAGTTCCTCTTCTGATAAACAATCAATGGGGTCCTTCTCAGGAGAGCTGTACTCCACTGCCAACTTCCCATTCTCTGAAACAAGCAATAAAAAAGAAGGCCAACTGTGAACAAATCAACGATAAACAAACTTATAAAATATTTTGAAACATTTCTGAAATTTATTTAGGATTTTATAGATTTTCAATTTAGGATTTTTGAACTAAAATTAACAGTACTGTTTATTATTTCTAAAGTGTTACAGAGCATTTATAATCTATAATCAGTTTATAATCTATTTGAAGGTAAGATTTAAAATCAATTTAGATGTGATATGGGAGATCTGTTGATAAAATCTCCTGAGTTATGACTAAAGTTGGTCCTCAGTAACAATCAACAGTAATGTGCCCCAGAAATGGCACATTCAGTAAAAGGAAAGATCAACTGGAAAATACTGGTGTGAGCATGAATATCAGCAATGTAAATATACCAACAAAATGAACCAGGTGAAGTTCAGGAGTTCCACTGATGCAGGAAACATGAGAGAAAGGGAAGAGCCAGGGAATGGAGGAAGTCATTTTATGATTATTGATCTTAAAAAAAACAAAGTCTCTGTGAAGGTAAATAGAAAGACAATAAGGCACAGAGAGAGGGTACATGGAAGCATGAAACTGAATACATTGGAAGGAAAAAAGTCAAACTGCAGAGCAAATAATGTAATCACAACAATGAGAAAAATATATTAGGTCAGACTCAACTTGAACCCCCCAGTGGGCCAATGGCTCACTGCAATGATAGAAGTTGTGGTCCAACTCATCTAGAGGGCACCAGGTTAAAAGGGCTAGATTAGGTGATAGGAACAATCTGAGACAGAGGAAAGAGGTTTTAGAGAAAGTGCATGTAACAGAAGTCAGAGACGGCTTCACTGCAATTTAGCATGATGAGTATGAATACAACAAGCCTTGGCTTTGCACATTCTTGCTTCTCTTTCTTATTCCAGCAAGGCTTTCAGGCACACTTCATGGAAATACACTTCTGTTTTTACTTACTTGCAATTTGTTATTGTTCAACTGACAAAAGGATCACAAATTACACTAAGCCATGGTCCACATAACCATTATTTATTGAATAAGCCAAACTGAGTTCCTGTAGTATGTTAAGCTACAAACAAACCACATAAGGGGTTAGTGCAAAGTATAAATCCAGCAAGTGTGCTTAAGATTTCAAACAAGCCAAATGGGAAAAAAGAAAAGGAAAATCTGACCTAGAGCCAATAAATAATTTGGTGTGCCTGGTATTTAATTACACAAATATTTGATCATTTCCTTGGATGGGAAATGTATGGAAGTGCCATGGAAGAAGAAATTAAAAGGAAGCATAATGGCCTTGCCTAGGATTATGAAGAGTATTTTCTGAAATGCATCTGAGAGTGCCTGTTGCACTGCAAGCTTCTGAGTGTTGCGGGTGGCCGTGAGAAACTCTGAAAAACAGAAATGCAAAATAACAGATTGGTTCAAGATCTACTGGCAGCACAGGCACTGCTGAACATTTTTGAACCAACAGTCAGATTTAATTCAAATTTTAACATCTAAAAACTTTATTTGACATACGGAAATAAACAAGGTTAATAAAAATTGGTCTACTAATATTTCATTTACACTAGTCATTTTATGTGGCAAAACATTGGCTTAGCAGCCTTTTACCAGTGTAGCAGATTTAATCATGAGTCGAAGTCTGGAGCCGAAAGACCTGCATTCAAGCCCTACATAGCTATGAAACTCAATAACTGAGTTTGTACATTATGCTAAACTAAGCCTTATTATTATCATGGATCGTTGAATAGTGCAATGTATGATCTTAATCAAGAGACTTTAGGTCAGTCTTCACTTCAGTTTAACCTACTTTCAAGATTATGATGATGATGGTGATAATATCCCATCGAGGTGGTGTATGTAATGCTCTGGCCTCCTATTTTCCATACAACTCTGTAAGGTGGGTTGGGCTGAGAGAGAGTCACTAGGCCAAAGTCACTGAGCTGGCTTTTATGCCTAAAGGAGGACTAGAACTCACAATCGCCTATTTTTTTAATTGTGGGAACTACTTTGAGCTCCTTAGAGGAAGTGCAGAATAAATATAATGGAGCACATTTCTATCTATCTACAATCAGGGTAGATCTAACCTCACCTTCTCCAATGTTCTACAACTCCTAGAATTCCCAAGCAGCTTGCTAGATGGGACCTCAGGCAATTGCCCCCCAACACAGCTGGAGGATATAGGGCTAAGGGAGGCTACTGTAGTGACCTAATCCCAGTCAGACCGTTTAGCCCCTTTTTAACCAGCTGCAGATTCCAAAAACCATTCATCAGGGGCCACCCCTCCAACCCATAGGCTCAGACCATGCTTAACATTAAATTGTTATGTAATTTCTTTGCTGATGATTTACCATGTGTGAAGTCACTAATTCCTGCTTAGTGTTAGGTACAAACCAAACCACTATGGGTGGTACAACTAATCATGGTTTAAAAATTTGGCTTTAGTGATGGATAAACAAAAGGTAATGAAGCATGAATCTTGAGATGGTTTTCTTGAAAAAGATTATACATAAATAACTAAACATATACCAAAGGCAGTTGTGCTTTTTACTGGAATGGAAATCTCCTTGTAGCCAGAGCTACCCATTTTAAATAACAGCCCTTGATCAAGAATCATCCCTAAATGTGACTCTTTATGGGTGGGCAAAACCCCACCCAAGCAGGGAATAACTCTATTTTGGAACTGCATTGTGAGTGGTAATACTACTTTTATACTGCTGTGGGTACTTCACTCCAGCCTCCCCTACACTCTCTATTCCCATGGTACCTTGACTGGGGTTCACATGAAGTTCAGCCACACCAATCCCTCTGGTATGAATTCCATAATCAGGGATGCTTAATTCTTGCACACACAGATACTTTGAATGATGGTGCCTGGGCAAAGCTCCCCCTTCTTCTTTCTCATCATCTTCAAAACCAGGTATATTCTGCAGCTGTTCCAGCAGGGATTATGCAAGTAATATACAGAAAGGGAAAGCAAGAGTTCATCCTTTATCCATCCTAGGTTGATTCTTCTTCATTCCCCTTCCCTTGATTCCATGGCACATTATTTGCATTCTATCCAGTCTTCTGCACCATGGGTACAGTTCTTGCTTTGCCTCGAATCCCTGGCGGCTCCCTACACTCAAGGAAAAAGAAGCACTTGGTCTCTCACATTGAGACAAAGTCTGAAACTGATCAGAAGCTGCTAGAACAAGTGGGAGACTGCTCCCCTGCCCTCTGGAATTCAAGGTAGGGAAGGGAAGTTGAATGTATTCACCCATCACTTTCACTGGGGTTTGAAGGCATTCCAAAAAATAGATTTTGGCATAGCTTCTGAGCATTCTCCAGCCCACTACAAAGTGGGAACATGGCCTCTCCCTTTCCTCAGAATATTTTCTCAGGAGAGAAAAGGACTAAAGGGCCCACACTAGATAAAAGCAATGACAGAAGTGTGAGAAAAAAAGAAATGGATGCTTAGGCCAAATTCAGTCAGTGTTCAAGGCTTACAAGGGAACATAAGCTACAGTAAGCAAGAAAATAAATAAACGTCCAGAGAAAAAGAAGTACAACAACTAATATAGATTTGCCTGAATTAATTTTCCCCCCAAAACCCTTCTTGGAACATCATGGTCCTGTAAGTAGAAAATGGACAATTTAAATTATATATCAGAAAGAATCAGTTAAAACACTTCCCCGTGTATAGCAAAATATCACCTACAATTTACTTAGACCTTCCTCAATCTGATGTTCTCTAGATGCATTGGACTAGAATATCTTTCACCCTCTAAGCCAGCATGGATGGGGAAGATGGGAATTGTCTGCCACATCTGGAGGTTACTGGATTGAGGTAAGCCAATTTACGCAAGTGGTCAACAACTGGCAAGTTCTGGGCCACTTTTGCCACAAGCGGTCAACTACTGAGCAACGTTTTCTCTTGTCTTTGTAGAACGGCCAAAGACATTTGAACGACAGATTTCGTTTTAGCATCCTTATGAAAAGAATAGAACAATAAGAAACAAAAGGAAAACCACAAGTCATTCTTACAGTGATGATGCGACTGGACCAGCCATTGAAACCAAGGTAGTGATTGGCTAATTCCTGGCATTTGTGGCTGTTCAAAGCTAACGTTTGCTTTGTAGGTGCCCGTTGTCTGGTACAAAGGCAAACCTGAAAAAGAAGAACCCCACGTCTCGTTAGAGGGATAGACAGAAGCAGTCCTCTCTTCTCCTAGAGGAAATGCAAGCCACCAAAAGCTGAATTTCAGCCCTGCTAAGAACCTGACAGGAAAGAAACTACCACCAAACCCCACACGTCTTCTTCTACAAATAGGTAAAAAGAGATGGACATGAAATGTTTATACCGTTTGACTGTTTTTTAGGCTTTCCGTAAGTATATTTTAGCATTTATATTTCAATAAAATATGTAGGAATGGGAAAGAAAACCATGTTTGTTGGCAATATAGGAACTGAAAAAACAAAACCTCATTCCATGACACAGCAGTAGAATGGGACAGCGCGCCCTTTCCTGAACTGATTGTCTTCAGATGTGCCGAACTTCAACCCATATAATTTCTAGCTAACACATCTGGATACTGTAGCATTTAATATTCCAAGACAGCTAACCATTGCAGTGCCAGGGCTGTATGTATTTCCAAATTCTGCAACTGCACTGCCTAAACAGACCATAGTCCACAATTCAGCATCCTAGGATACTTCAGAGACTTTAAAAAGAGGTGGTATTGAAGGCCACCCAGAGCTCAAGGAGGGCCGGGATGGATGTACCACCTGCATCCTGGGCCATCAACAAGTGCAACCAATGCCACCTTCATGCTGGCATTCAGTCTGAAGCTTGACTGAAGGGGATCCAGATAATCTGCTTAAATGAGAGCCCTTTGGAGCTGCAACACAACCACCTTCTCAACAACTATCCCTAAAAAGGAAGGTTGGAGATAGGCTGAAAGTTATCCAGTGCAGCCGGTTCTTGAGGGAGGGGTGGACCACTGCCTCCTTAAGTGCAGGCAGACTCAATCCCTTCTCAAGGAAGCATCACCATTGCTTGAACTTAGCCATATACCACCTTCTGTGAGGCCATAACTATGAGGGGCATGAATCTAAAATACAGGTGGGCATGCTTACAGCTTCAAGGTTCCTATCCACTTCTTCAGGGCCAACAGGATGAAATTCTTCCCCGACAACCACGTAAGGCTAAAGGATGCTACACCATCAATAGTACTGAAATAAGACCCACCATTAACAGGGTTGCTTTGTATATGGAACACAAGGGGGAAACACCCTTTTCTTCTTTGCCTCAGAGAATATCTTTAGTGACCTTGACATTTACTTACTACAAAGAAAGTTCACCTCACCCCTTGGCAGGGTTAAACAATTTGCCTGCCAAGGAGAAAGTTAGCACCCCATTCTTGGTTATCTGCTAAGAACTATTCAGGATCCTGATAAAACCAGGCTTCCAATCACCAAAAGCTATCCCAATGCAGCACCTCATTACTTTGTGAGGCTTTCAGCTGCGATGTCTGGTTACATACTGCACTAGGCCACAGTGTGGTTTCTTAGGTTTTAGCTTAGGGTATTGTATGAACATAGCTGCTGAGATCTGTAAACTGCAGTCAATTGTATTTCATTGTGTAAAACACTGTTAAGCAAACCAGTGTGAGCTGTGAACTCCATGGTCTTAGATTATGCAATGACATACCTTCAGAGCAGTTTTCTGAAACAGTGACCTCTGATTGCAAGCATGTTGTGCCCGGCTGGCATCTCGGGCAGAGTAGAACTTGACAAAGGCGTGATAGCCAGGCCCAGCAACCAGAGCATTTCTGTACAGTTTTACAGAATAGAGTGGCCCAAATGCAGAGAAGGCAAGATACAGAGCATGCTGGAAGGAAGAAAGGCATCTATTAGAAAAGACAATGAGCAGGTATATTTGTGAAAAAGCCAGCTGGTGGGAAATGTGTTGAAACTGCAATTCTCTACAATTACCATCTGCTCTGGTGCTAGCTGGAAATCTCTGGGAGTTGCAGGCCCAGCACATCTGGAGTGGCCAGTTAGGGGAAGGCTAGTATAAAGGATTAAAGCATCAGACAAGGTCAGGCTGCTGCTGCAGAGAAGTCTGCATAGTAGTAATGATGGCAGGGCTGAGAGGCAAATATCTATGATCCTTGGGACAGAATCTGTTAGAAGACTTCCTGCTCAAACACCACTACAAATCCCAGATGTGCAAGAGGGCAATTGCATGATGATACAGCTCTAGCTCAGGTCAATTAAGCTTCTTTCAGGAACCTTCCTGGTGGATCATGTTCCATATTCATTCTATGAGAGAAAGGAAGTGCTGCTTGGATTTTCAACTCCAATCATCAACCTGGAGACCCAGCTCAAATCTTTCTTAAAAATCATACCTACTAAACATTGCTCTTCTTCTTAATTCTATAAGAATGAAGGGGTGGGTGTCATAATTCAGTTGTGAAGGCAAGGCACTCTATAAATGTCCCGAGGCACAACCCTGTTTACCTTTGACTTATTTGAGCCCTCAGCTCAAATAAATCCTGAATACTCCTTAAAAACAAGTGCTCTATAAGCACTTCAGATTCAATGGCAAGGTGTTAAGAGGTGCAAAGGGGCACATATAAAATATGTTTTCCCCAGGACTGTTCTGAAGCTGCAGATAGCAGCTGTACAATCCAGGGAAAAGATGCAGCTGCTTTAAAGAGTTGCAGACAGAAGCTACCTGGGTGAGCACCTTTGAAGCACTTTTTTGCCTCAAACTTTGCACAGCCCCACTGGAAACCTTTTTTCATAGGACAATGTCCATTTCTTTTTAGTACTAACAAATCTGACTATAATTACTTTACCGGTAATAAAGTTCAGGACAAGATACTGCTATAAAAGAAGTCTCTCAATCTTCTACCATCAACACCTTCCTTATATATGCCATAAAAAGTGTAGACTTATCCCTCTTACTCAGACACACATATAAGCACACACAGGTAAAAGTAAATAGCTCAATTTCTCAACAACTAATGCAGAGGAATACTATTAACAGTATTTACCTATGAAGTCTTTCATGATTGTCCTACATGATTGTACCCAGAGGGTCTCAGATTGTGGATTATGAGCAAGTAGAGGGGGAGGTCACTATTCTCCTGAAAGTTGATTAGGCTTGCACAGGAGGCAAACTGAAGAATAATGTCAAGGCTCATTTTTGCTTTGCCAGGCAAACCTGTAGTAGTGATTTGGTTTCATGCTGGCTGGTGACTTCCAACGTGCATATCTGTAGTCTAAAGGTACTCCAAATTTCTAAAGGTACTCCAAAAAGTATACTTGTCAGTGAAGTTCACTGTTTTTATGTTTTTTTAAAACATATCTAGCTTTTCAAAAAGATTTTGTTGGGTGGGAAGAGAAATGGTAAAGAGGAACAATCTACTGGCAGTGTTGATAAAATAAGCCTAAATCCAGAAAGTGTGATGAAAGTTACTTATCTATGAACACATTTAAATCATTTTATTCATGAGGAGGATCACTCAAATTCATCTGTCACTTTAGGGGGTTGTGATTTGAGAACAGTTGTCCTAAGGTCATCTTTGGAGGTTTTGCTCCATGTGCTCCCCCACTGAGTTATGGATCTTCTCAATGGTGGCCTCCTAGCTTTGGGATCCTTCCCAAGTGGGGAAAGCCTGGTGCCTATATAATAATTCGTATTTTTCTTCTCTTCCGTTTTTTAACATGTAAACATTTCAACAACTTGGTTATGCCAATGGAGCCTCTTAATTAGTTTTAGTCTTGCTTTTTTGGGGGGGGGGATTACTTAGACATTCTTATTTGCTTATTGATAGACACTGTTTTAATTTAAACTTTTAGACCTGTTTTTATATTGTGTTGTAAGCTGCCCTAGGAAAATGTCTCTTTTGAACCATGCCATTTATAAAAACAGATAAAACTATCAGTGTCTCCGCATAGCTAGAATGTATATGCTGTACCACCAAATGCTCACAAAACACTGGAACTAGGGGGTGCTTGGTGTACTGTACAGTGGGGCAAAAAAGTATTTAGTCAGCCACCAATTGTGCAAGTTCTCCCACTAAAAAAGATGATAGAGGCCTGTAATTTTCATCATAGATATACATGAACTATGAGATACACAATGAGGAAAAAAATCCATAAAATCACATTGTCTGATTTTTAAAGAATTTATTTGCAAATCATGGTGGAAAATAAGTATTTGGTCACCTACAAACAAGCAAGATGTCTGCACAAAGAGGTAGCCATTTAGTGTGATGCAACAAAAATCCTATGATGAAAATTACAGGCCTCTCTCATCTTTTTAAGTGGGAGAACTTGCACAATTGGTGGCTGACTAAATACTTTTTTGCCCCACTGTATGTGCAAGTCCCTGCCATAAATCAGATCCTGAGCATTGCTTCCAAGCAGAGTCTACTTCCTTAAGGATATTTTCCCAATAGTTTTCACTACTTGTTTCTAACAGGAATGTAATGTTTTGATATAAACTTTGTTAAAAAGGAAGATAACAAAGAGGTAGCCATTTAGTGTGATGCAACAAAAATCCTATGATGAAAATTACAGGCCTCTCTCATCTTTTTAAGTGGGAGAACTTGCACAATTGGTGGCTGACTAAATACTTTTTTGCCCCACTGTATGTGCAAGTCCCTGCCATAAATCAGATCCTGAGCATTGCTTCCAAGCAGAGTCTACTTCCTTAAGGATATTTTCCCAATAGTTTTCACTACTTGTTTCTAACAGGAATGTAATGTTTTGATATAAACTTTGTTAAAAAGGAAGATAACAAAGAGGTAGCCATTTAGTGTGATGCAACAAAAATCCTATGATGAAAATTACAGGCCTCTCTCATCTTTTTAAGTGGGAGAACTTGCACAATTGGTGGCTGACTAAATACTTTTTTGCCCCACTGTATGTGCAAGTCCCTGCCATAAATCAGATCCTGAGCATTGCTTCCAAGCAGAGTCTACTTCCTTAAGGATATTTTCCCAATAGTTTTCACTACTTGTTTCTAACAGGAATGTAATGTTTTGATATAAACTTTGTTAAAAAGGAAGATAACAAAGAGGTAGCCATTTAGTGTGATGCAACAAAAATCCCCATGCTTCACAGTAGGTATGGTGTTCTTTGGATGCAACTCAGCATTCTCTCTCCTCCAAACACGATGAGTTGAGTTTAGACCTCTCATCTTTTTAAGTGGGAGAACTTGCACAATTGGTGGCTGACTAAATACTTTTTTGCCCCACTGTATGTGCAAGTCCCTGCCATAAATCAGATCCTGAGCATTGCTTCCAAGCAGAGTCTACTTCCTTAAGGATATTTTCCCAATAGTTTTCACTACTTGTTTCTAACAGGAATGTAATGTTTTGTTATAAACTTTGTTAAAAAGGAAGATAACAAAGAGGTAGCCATTTAGTGTGATGCAACAAAAATCAAGCCTTGTACATGTATGAAAGCCCATGTTTTTGGACAGTGGCTGACTTGTTTGGAATGAATTTTATAAATTTATTTTCATTTTCAATAGAATAAATTTGATGACATGGAAATTTAAGCCACAATATATGGGTCAGCCTTGCTCCAAGATGCTGCCTTGTTTCAGAAACAGGTGCCCGACTGCACAAATCAGAAGAGCCAGACCTGTATACTGTAATTTAAAAGGGAAATGGAACTCCAGAATTATTACTAGGGCTCTGCACGTTTTGAAAATTGGCTTAGGCAAAATTTAGGCACCTAAATATGTTATAGGAGTAATATAACTTCAATGAATTGAAGCCTGAAAAAAGATGAACTGTTTTAACGAACAGCAGAGAGGTGCTGTGCTTGCGCAAAGCATACTGTACAGTCTTACCACGACCGCACTTGAAGAGGCCCTCTCCCGCCACGGTAAAACACTCCCGCTGTCCGCACGGGGGCAACCCAGCAAAATGCCGCCTAGACACTGGCCACTCCCGCGTAGACAAGGCAGGGTTGCTGCCACGGCCCCAACGCTTAAGGCGGGAAGACTGCATTTTTCAAACACGGTTCCAACAGGCTCAAAGAATTTCCTCGGCAATAAACATGCCAACACGAAGCAGCGAACTCAGAGGTACGGATAGCGACTTTTGCTGGCTTACGCAAATTCACTCAAAAAGCGCCCCGAAATTCTGACAAGATGTCGAAACGGGTTGGAGGAAAAGGCACCCCCTGCTTCTTCGCTACTTGCCTCCGACGCATCTGACTCCAGCCCCAAGACGAGCAGAGTCCGATCGTTCCCAGGGGGGACACGGAACTCCAGAATCTCAGCCATGCCAGGGACGAGCGCGAAGGGAAAGGCGCCGCGCGGGGAGCGACCTATTGGCGGACTGAGGTGGGGAATGGATTTGAGGACTTCAGTAGTTCTGCGCCGCATCGGGTTTCAGCCCCGGAGATGCCAGCAACACGCTGAGCTGGGGGGAGAAAATGAACGCACGTGACGTAAGAGGAAGCCTGCTTCAACGCAGCGAGCCTAAAGAGTCAGAGGGCGTAGGCTTTACGGCGCGCGCGCGGTCTCTCAGCAAATGGCAGAATGCATTTTCTGGAATAATTTGGAAGCGAAGCAAAACAAAGCAAGGATGAAGGGGGAAAAAGGATTCCTACACGAAGGACAATATGTACTGAAGCCCTCGTTTGTCTTTACCTAGAATTGAAATCAGAAACGCATATACAAACGCTACCAAATGGTTGGGTTTGCTTTATTTGTGTAAGAAAAGCATTCCATTTTTCTGCTTGGATGCGGCTCTTCACTTATAATATGTAATTTTTCTTTTTTATCCTATCTAACCTACGCATCGGCTCTGAAATGCTTTTAAAAAGTACTCAGCTATCGATTCCCGCATCTTGCTAAGCCATCTGTTGGTTGTGTGATTCAAGGCATTGTGGTTTGTAAATCATAGATCTTTGTACCCAAGCCAACTCTAATTTGTTCAACAATACAGTTTAGGGTAACTCATTAACTTAATTAAAAGAATAGAGGACTTCATGTTTCTGCTGGGTTTACATGGTATGCTGAGCCATGGTTAGCAGTGTATGAATTAAGCCAGGGTTGACTGAGTTTGTTAGCCTTTTGGATTACAAATGATATGATTGAGTTCACACAACATGCAGTCTAAACTTAGCTACTTGTGGCTTATTCGAGAAATGAAATGTACATTTGACAGAGTTAGGTAGCTAAACTAAATGTGATTATTTTTCCCATATCAATATGGTTTTGCCTCATTGATGCCACTACATCTTAAGGGCTTTTGTTTCAGATGTGCATCTGAGTTTAAAACTACATATATAAATTGGACCTGATTGCCTTTTAGCATATAAAATGTGTTCTGAGGAATGTTTTGCAGCACAAGGGGGACACATGAAAGAAAATACCATTATGGAAATCTGTAGGCCTAGTCCATAAAAGATTTGAATGTCCCCTCCCCCCCCCCCCCCCCCCCAGTATTTCAGAGAGCCTCAAAGACGTGACTTTTTGGGCAGATCTTTGGTGAGGACGATTGACATCCTTTCCTTCCGTCTCCTTGTTCCCATCCAGGTTTGTTTTCTCTGCCATCTTTGTTCTGTGTTTTTTGAATGTTACTCATTTAAAAATATTTTTAACAATTTGTAAATCATCCAGAGTTGTTGGGAGATGGATGTCATCCAAATTTAATAAATTACGATTAACACCGCACTGGCCAGAAGGAAGGAAGTACTCAGCAGAAGAGGATCAAGGTAACCAAAGTCACCAGGGAAAGAGATGTCCAGTTGTAAGTCAACCCCAGTTCAGTTCTTAGACCTTGTTGGTTTCAGTGGCAGAACCCATTACCACTACATATAATGTGAGAACTACCTTGACATGTATAGGGAGATTTTTTCCAACCTAGGACTAATGTAGGGCATGGTTTTCCAATACCGCAAGAGCTGTAGGAGGTGCATATATCTGAGAATGAACACAGTCATTTTTACACTGTTCAATAAGTGTAACATCTATTCACTATGAAAGCCAGAAATTAAAGGTGTTCTAATTCTGAAAGCTTGACCATGTGTAGCAACGTCTTTTTTTTTTTTTTACAAGTAATGCTCATGTCCCATTCCATTATTAACCACAGTGTGCAGCAGATGACTCCCTGTTAGCTGCCATACCTCCCTTACCCCAGATATTAGTTTTTTCGGGGGGGGGGGGGAGAGTGTTAGATTTAATATCCCTCTAGTCCAGTGTTTCTCAACCCTGGGAA